TCAGCAGGGATCCGATCCCCTGACCTGTTTCGTGGTAAACGCGGCTCCATAACTCCGTTCAGAGAATCGCTTTGCAAATTTTGAAGGCAGATTCAAGATCAGCGTCCAAAACCACGTCTAGTGATCTACATCTCATCACAAATGGCCACTTCGACCTGACGACCTTCCCTAGTAAGTTGACCTATACACGACGGCGTTTTTTCTTACTCAGCATTTTTCCGTGGAATTTTTTCTGTAGTGATGGCAGTATGCTTTTCAGGGATCGTTCACGTCTCATAAAGGAATCGTCCTGCAAGTATGTGGTGAAGTGGCCACCCGTCGTTTTATCCAGACCTTCATCTTAGGACAGCAAAGCGCGAAGAAATTTTATGTGCAGAATGATATCTTTGAATTCCTAGACGTGGCTTTTCAAAGTGAATCGCAGGACTCTCCAGCTCCTGCTCCACCGAACGAAGCCGCTGCTACTGAGGTATGCAGTCTAACATATTTTCTGAAATCTGTCTTCTTCTGCTTTTCTATTGTAGTGCGTCTTCATGCTCCTTCTGGAACTGGGCTTCTGTCGTATTCAGTGAACAGATTTTCATCTTCAGGCACAGTCGGTTGATATCGATCTCGTGCAGAACGGTCACAACCATTCTCATTCATCGATAGCTCTTAGTTGTGAGGAAACACCTATCTTGACGAGTGTTGTCTCTCATGCGAAGGCGAGTCCAGCGAAAAATCCTGCCTCGGCGCCTGCTGCGGAAGGTGAGTGAATTCAATTTTTATTTTCGCTGCTTTTTGGAACCTAGATTGCAGATTCTTTGTCCAGAATTTTGTAATTTTTATTATTTCTCTTCACGTCAAAGTAGAACTGATTAATGCTTTCATACACTGACCTTCAATGCTTCGATTCACCAATTCTCCAACCTTTGATTGTCGAAAGGTATACATGGGTGCGCACGGATATACATGGGTTACTTTCCTTCGAAATCCGAAAATTCAAATTTTCTTGGGGCTTCCCTCAGTATTTAGCGGAAATACCTCGTTGTGTAGTATGTCCTTCCGGATAAAGGAAGGCTCCTCCCTGTTAAAACACCCTTATTTGGTGAATTCTCTGAATACTATTTCTGTGCACTCCAGGAGAAGGTAAAACCCATCTTCTATGGCCTCATTATTCCGAATTCAGAGAATTTGTCAGAGTTTTTTTTTGCGAATGTAGGATTCGTTAGTGTTACTAGGGCATTTCCTTTATTCGCGTTGTATAGTGCTGATACCATCCAACATTAGAACGAAAACGAAAAACGCGGTTTAGAAACTGTACTTTTGGCAGAAAGAGCCTTTGAGTTTTTGTCGGCGAGGCATCTGGGGAAGCGTCAGAACTGTAACTAGAACCACACCGTCTTCGTTACCTGTTGTAAAGCCGTGAAAAAGGGATAATTCTAGCGACTGAGGACCGAATTCACTGTACAAGGAAGGACGCTTACGAGTTGCTTGAGTGCGTACTGACTTTAAAGACACATGGTACGCTCAAACACATTGAGGGTGTATGAGACTATCAGCCCCCCAGCTGTCGATGTGTCGTGGTCCCCCGCCCAAAACTGCACGGGGTCAGAGTACGGGGCCCGTGGGAAAGTCGTAATTCCTTGCTACGCCGCCCTTTCGTTTTAACACCATCCGCGCGGCGCGGTCGCGTGCAGCTCTCTTGGCTTTTTGCCAAGTCCTGTAATTGCGCTTTGGAATACAAGTACAACGCAATTTCTTTATGCGGATAACATTTTAGGTGCTGCAAAATAAGAACCGAAGATGATGACGAGGGCTAGAACTCAAGAGCAACTGTGGTGCTTCTGCAATATCCCTCAGAGGCCGCGCATTCCCACAGAACATGACAATAAAAACGGCCTAAGCGTCCCACTCGTTAGTTTGAAGTATTTCTATAGCTTTAGAGCCGGATTCGAGCCGGATCGCAGAAATGCACACGCGATTTTAATTTATTTCCTTAGTTTTTCAATTTTGTTTTATTTACATCTACATTCGTTGTTCTTCATTTCTAGCCTTTGTCATCTTCATCACCTTCTATTCGGACTTTGAAGCATGAGCAATACCTCAAATGTTAGGAAATTGCGTTTTGCTTGTATTGTCATGTTTTATTGTCATGTTGTCCGTTTTTATTGTCATGTTCTGTGGGAATGCGCGGCCTCTGAGGGATATTGCAGAAGCACCACAGTTGCTCTTGAGTTCTAGCCCTCGTCATCATCTTATTTTGCAGCACCTAAAATGTTATCCGCATAAAGAAATTGCGTTGTACTTGTATTCCAAAGCGCAATTACAGGACTTGGCAAAAAGCCAAGAGAGCTGCACGCGACCGCGCCGCGCGGACGGTGTTAGTAAAACGTGAGTTTGGAAACGGGCGGTGTAGCAAGGAATTACGACTTTCCCACGGCCCCGTACTCTGACCCCGTGCAGTTTTGGGCGGGGGACCACGACACATCGACAGCTGGGGGGCTGATAGTCTCATACACCCTCAATGTGTTTGAGCGTACCATGTGTCTTTAAAGACAGCCCCGCGCTCAAGTAGTACATGGTCGTCCTTCCTTGTGCAAGTAGTCCAGCCCCCAAGCTAGAGACTATCCCACTCTCGCGACTCCACAGCGAGCGAGGAGCGTGCTACAGCCGCCCAAAGTTCTCGTTCTAACACACGTTCAGTTGCACCGGTTCACTTGAGGTTAACTCTCCATATCTGACGCAGCGCCGCTCGCTTGCTCTTTGTTAAAGCGGCGGCATAATTGCATGTCTATTTTTACTAGCTGCGCTTGTGCCCATGAGTAGTTCTGCTGTTCTTTACTACATTTGATTCATTGGGGGCCGGCGTTTTTTTTTTGTTTGTTTTCCGGAATCCTTTCTTTGCATGGAAGGATATTTACCACTGGAAGATGCATTTGTGAGCCAGGGGTTGCTCAGAAGTCGCAGGGCGGTGTGACTGCCTGGGAGCGATCTTTGTTTATTGTGTTCTTGAAGATTCTTTTGATTTTTTCTTCTTTGTTGAATTACTTGTCAGCTACTAGTTCGTAAGTAGCAGTAGCGAGCAGCATCTATCCATGACAGTTAATCGCGGTACTGTATTTAAGTGTTCCGGCTCAGCCGCTTGCTGCTTTAGCGCTTAACTTGTGTGATATTCGTGTTTGAAGAGGGGAAGGGGGGGGGGGTGTACAGAATACTTCAATTCTAGCTGTTCGGCATGCGAGGCAGTAAAGGCCATGTGGTGGTGGTCTTGGTGTGAACTCTGTGACTTTTAGTAAGTTACGAAGGGGACGCCGTCGACTTATATTTGTCAGTGGTACTAAATAGTTGTACCTGATGAGCAGCATTTTGTATTTTCTGTCTTTGACTCTTTCCCTATTTATCTATCTCGCTATTTTTTCAGCCGTTGCTCCTCTGCTGTGAGGTTTAGCTGCCGCATAGAAGTAGGAGGATTCTCTAGATGTGAGGGGAAAAATTGTGGAACAGATTACAATAAATGCAGCATGACAAAAGCAAGAGATAAAAACGCGGAATATAGTCGATACAATGCTGAAAGGCAAGATCATAGAAGACCCTTATATCTGTAGCGGGGTGAGACCAATGAGGAAGAGTGATCGGGACTCATTAAATCTTTGCACCTCTTAGCCACCCTATTCAGTCCTACTGAGTTTATTCAAGCTCACTTGATTGACCGGGCGTTGCTTCGCTGTGTTCATGCTTCGCGGCAGCGGGCACCAGCGACCACGAGCGTCCGTCAGCGCCACCGACTGGGATAGTGTAGATATCGATCTGCGAGCGCCCAGAAGCGGAGAGTACGGGGAAGTAGGAGAGAGCAGACAGCTGGATTAGGCGTCGTGAAACTGTTGTCTGTGCAACCGCACAGTACTACTATCTCAATAAATGTATATTAAATTGCATAAATCTGTGCTGTAGCAGTTATACGGTGTTGTTGCACTCGCCGCGATTTCACGATACACAATCCAGCTGTTTGCTTCCTCCCACTTCCTCATACTCTCCGCGTGGACGCTGGCGGGCACACTGGTGGTCGCTGACGGCGCTGCTGCAAAGTATGAACGCAGCCTTCCTCAAGTGTTGAGCGATGTTGGAAGAGGCTGTAGTCAGAAATGTGAAGTTCGATCGGGTCTGATTTGACACTACGAAGCAGTATGTCAGCATTTAGGTACTATAGAAATAGAAAAAAAATGATGAGCACAGGGTATACGGTTAGGTTCGAGGCTAGAAGTTTGTGGCGTTAGTGTTGCAAGCTCTTCATAGCTCTTGTGTGCCGTCCATGATAGCAGCGTGTCTTCGTTAAAGTTTCATTATTGATGGGGAAAGGTACTCAGAAGAAACGAGTGGGACGCCATGCGTTCTATAGTTTATAGAGGAATTTTTAGGCCTTCGTTTTTCCTCAATACTTTTTTCATAAAAGACCCACCAGACCCTAAATTTATGCTCCCTCCCTCCCTCGTTCTAAAACTAGGTCATTTCAGATACATCAATCAAGGAATCCCCTCCTGCAGAAGAGTCTCCAAAGCCGAAAGTAGAACCGCCGACTACGGAAAGTACGCCACAGGCAACAGGTGACAATACACCTAAGACCTGGGCACATCGTGTTGGAGGTGGTTCCAAGCCAGCCGCTGCTCCCGCATCAGGAAATGTTCCTCAGAAATCGTCGCCCGCCCCCACAGGTGGGAGTGGTGGTGCAACTCCACGCACGCAGCAACGCCCCCAAGTGCAACCAAACGGTGAGTTTTGCAAGCTCCATTGTTAGTGGCTCATGCATTTTCTCACTCACTTAGTGTTGCAATAGAATAAAGTTAAATCGTTCAAGGAGGTCCAGTTGCCCAAGGGGAGCGCCGTATATATCTAGGCGGCATTGTCAGAAACATGGTCCCTGATAACACAAATATCGCTGAACAAGAGATCAAGGATGCGTTTTCAAGTCAGTTTCATATTATCAGTTTAACTTTGTTTTTGTATGCGCTGCTGACATCAAGGGGGCTTTTGATGAACCCTTCGTGCGAAACGGGAACCACCATAACGCTGAAAATGGGGAATATCGTTCGAGCCAAAAGGTGATAGAGATTACTATGGGCAAACCATTTCAAAGGCGTTCCCACTTCATTTGATGTTTAGACGTCCCTTTGGACATGGTAGTCCTGTCCTCAAGCATGAAGAATTTACCAATTTCGCAGCTCAAAAATGCGTGACGAGGCGCTACTCGCTCATGACAGGGGCGGTGCTCAGCCCGCTGCTCCACAGTACCTTCACAATTCTGCTCTGAAAGTTTGATCGGGTCATAAGACGCGATTGGTCTCGTACTATCTCACCTTTCTTGAGCGCAAAGCCCGCCTTCAAGGTACGTTAGATTGAGGAGGTCCTAGTTCAAGCGCAAGAAATCCTCCCCTCTCCTCACCACCCCCTCTAATACTGTACAACTGCATACATTCTGAACTTTTTATGTTATGATAACAGCTGTTTTAGTTAATTCGCGCTTCGGAGGTTACCACAAGAATGCTGAGTTATGGGCAAAAGTCGAACCCCAGGCGGGAGTCGAACCCGCACCTCACGCTTTCCGGGCGAGTGCGCTATCCGTTACGCCACCAGGGCTGCTTTTACACTCTCAGCCCAACGGCTTTTTGTCATGCTTGCGGTAACTTTCGAAGCGCGAACTGCGACATAGAGCAGCTGTTATCATAATATGAAAACTTCAAAATTTGTAAAGCCCACGGCCTCGCGATCCATTGCCGATATCTAACTATTACGACTGAACGGCTGACCTTGTTATAACGTATGAGTGCTGATAGGCTTAGGGATAAAGCCGTTGAGTTGAGATAATAAAAGCGCCCTGGTGGCGTAACGGATAGCGCACTCGCCCGGAAAGCGTGAGGTGCGGGTTCGACTCCCGCCTGGGGTTCGATTTCTGCCCATAACTCAGCATTCTTTGGCCATAAATTCTTTTCTGATTTCTATTTTTATAATCGAACTAGGGGTTTATGATTGCCTTTGCAGAATATGGCGAGGTAGAATCGGTAGCTATACCACGAAAAGTTCTCGATCAACCAAACGACACATCTCGTAATGGATTTGCCTTTATCTCTATGAGAACACCTGCAGACGCCCAAAATGTCTTCCAGAAAGCGCGAAAAGACGTGAGTTTGCGACTTGTTCAGTGTTTTAGTGGAATTTATATTATTTTCGAGAAAAAAATTTGCTTTAGGATCGCGGCATTTACCATCTTCAATTGTGCCTTGAAGCGTTCGGCTTTGATGGCGAAGTGACGATTTCTGAGCAGAAAGATCGCATTGATCGCCCTGGTGGAGGATTCCGTGGAGGTCGTGGCGGATTCGTCCCTCGTGGTGGAGCTGGTTCATTCACACGCGGAGGTGGCAGAGGTCGCGGAGGTTTTCGTGGTGGTTTCATCAACCAGAACGCTAACCACTGAATCTTTTGATCCTTCTGTGATGTAACAGCGCCTCACATCTTAGGGTGTATACCCAAACGACCACACAAATTTCTATTCCATGGTTGAACACCTTTTCCCTTGTTGTGCATCCCTATTACCCCTTTGCACCTGGTACTTCCACTTTCTAAACTATTCATAGATCTATTGAAAGTGAAATCTCTCTTCTTGGTCATGGCTCATTATTTGTAACTTGTGATTTTTCGTTATTCCGGTTCGTCTATAGCACGTATTTCAGATTTGTGTATATTATGTTCATATAGAGTTTTTCGACTTGAAGGGCTCTTCTCCCTTGAATAGTTGACTATTTTAATAGGGTAAAATGGGGGTATAGCGAGGGTGCACCATGTCTAGGTTTTACTGCAGCCGGGGCTAGCCATGTTATTATATCGCTGTCTCGTAGATCTCTGAGTGCCGATTTTCCCTTTCTTTCACCACTCTCCTCTTTCTCTCCTCAGTTTCCTGTCCATCTCACCCTCCTCAGTCGGTACTAGCTCAGCTTGAGGTCCACGCCTGCCGCGTTGCCGGTGCCCCTCACCGTTTATCCTTGTTTTCTCATTGTTCACCATTCTGGCGGCTATTGTTGAGGCGTTTGCGTGCGCTCATAGCAATGTCATAAGCGCATCTTTTTGTATTATTGACATTGTGACCTGTCGGATTTAGCGCATTTTTACCCCTCCCAGGATTGAGAATGGGTTAAATTCTGGCTTTTTGTCATCTTGTTAATTTTACACACTAAATTTATTGTTGTCTGCGACGAGTAAATATTGTTTTTTAGTAGTTCAACCGTGTCCTATGAGAGTTTTGATTGCCAGGGCTACCTTTCATTCATATTGTGTTTCTGAATAAAATGTCGGTTTAGTATAGTTGAGAAGAATGTAATTGAAATACATTTGAAGAGTGCGATAACTTTTGAATCAATATGGAAGATGACGAATTCAATGTGGTAGCGCGATTTGACGACGTCGATCTTTCATACCCGTGAGTTCATGGTTTGTTATGGAATCAGGTCTGCAGCGTTGGAGTTACCGTCGTCTTTAAGCTTCGGACTAGTCATAGTCCATGGGGGCATTCGCTAGTGTGGATCATCTGGTCCTGTGTTCAGGCAATTATTAGGACATTCGGTAAAAGGGTAAGGGGGGTGGGGATGGCGGGGAGGTCGGCTGGATTCTTTTGATAGAGTTATTGATGCCAAGATGTGTTCATATTTTGCAAATGTGAAAAACCTGATGATTTGTATAAGGCTCCGAAAGGGAAATATTCGGTCGGTTCGGTCTGGAGAGTCTGTGATTCAAGGGAGTGCGGGATTTGGGAGATCGGCGATTAAGAATCAGATGAGAATCTGTCGCATTAAATCGCCGAGAATCTTCCGAATCGCGCATTCTCCGCATTCGCAAGTACTGGCCCTACTTACGATTGCGTAAAGGGTAAAACTGGGAATTCCTGTCCCACAGAAATGCTCGGACATTTTTGTATCCCTTTTTGTGAGGCGGAGGTGGAATAGTGAGAAGTGCACGGCTACCACTTGCGGTGGGTCCGGGATTCAATTCCCCGATCGATAAACGCCCTGGGAAACCGAGCCTTCTACCCTCCGGGGACGGTAAATTGGTACCAGATTCGTCTGGGAGGATAAAACACTGACTTGTACATCGGCTGGCCCCGCAATTCATTGTATTGGCTACTTGGCATTCCATAAGATTGTGAGTGGAAGTAGAATGTAAGCTGCATCCCAAAAAGGATTGATCAACGGCGAAGACTATATCCTTCCATCCTTATCCCCACCTGTAGTCCTTAGGTAAGCTTCTCGGCCAGGTACACCTGAAAGGGGGTACTGTGAAAGCAGGATGCGTGCGTGCTCGTTGGGAAAAGTTCAAAAGAACAAGTACGACCCTCTTCAAGTTTCCCAACCTGGCACGACCCACCTTCTACATACCCATCCAACCTACCATCTCCCTAATATTCCCAACTTCCTACCTTTTTTCAGGAGATTGTTCTCAAAAGTCCCTCCCCATTCCTCCGAAAAACCACCGTAATGGGAGGAGAAGACAGTGGACGTGAACCGGAAAAGTAGAGAAAACTCAGCTGTTGCGAAAACATTTTCCACTAAGGCTCGTGGAAGGTTTGAGTGAAGATAGTGTCTTTTGGCCTTTTCTTCCACTTGTTAAGAAATGAATTCCGCTACTGTTGACACGAAGTTCTCCTCAAAGCTCTTTTCATCAAAATCTCGTACGAAATTCATGGAAACAGATTAAAAATGAATTTCTTGAGGTGCGAGAGATCAGTGACGTGTTTTCCCTTGTTCTAGCAGGTGGCGATAAAAATCTCTACTTTAGTGATCATGAGAACGTCGAGCCGTCAGCATCGGATGTGACGGTTGTGAATGTTCTGAATGAAACGGGTCAAAGAAAACGCCGTTTTCTGGACGATGATCCATTCTCCATGCCTCCAGATGATCAGTTTGTTCATCCTATGGGTAAACTCTTCTGTTACATTACTTCTTGTATGATTTTTCTAGACGATGAGTTATCGTTGAACTATCGGTCACCTGCTTTCTACAATCAGTTCAAGTTTTTTTATTTAAAGACTGGCACATGAGAATGCCACTCACATTGGAGGAACACGAGAACACTCGAGCGAAAACCGATGATGAATTGGCTGCTACGCAGTTATTCCAGCGGATCTGCCAAGCAAGGGCGAAAAGAATGCGGGCGATGAGGGAGCAACGGCAAGAGCACGAGCATCCTAGTTCAGATGATGAAGGTGAAAAGGAAAAGCAGGTAATTTATAGATTCCTCCTCGAACGTGACAGAGTTATCAGTTTAATGCGGTGCTTTCGAGTGGCATAATGAGCCAGCCGTTATTGCCTATTGGTTTTTTTTGTTTTCCTGTGTATGCGAAGCCTCCCGTGACTTTTTGAGGTTATGGAATCACCACCAATTGATGGGTCATCATGGATTGGAGTTAATAGTGACGACAGGCATGAAAGGTACTTTTTCTCTTCCTTGAAGGCGCCAGTCACGGCTGGAGTTGAACTTTTCATAAGCGCCTAATGAACATTTCGTATCATAGATAATTGAAGCATTTCTGTATAGGTTCTATATTCGTTATCTACGGCAGCCACGTGTGCCGCGAGCTGCAAACGTTGGTTCGAATGAAGTTCGCGCTGAAATTCTCAATCAACAATGGGAGAGAATAAAGGCAGAAATCGAGGCAGTCAGGTATGACCGGATGTTCGTAATATTTCTGGAAAAGAAGCGTCGCTTTCAATTTTTTGGCTGTCCAAGGCCTGCGTTCTCCTTCCTTTAAAGCAGAGCACAACGTCGTTTCGATGTGTCAACATGGTGGATAAGGGAGGGGGCTATTTTCAGTTTTTTGGAAGGTGGTTATATTTATACTGCCTTTGCGGGATAGTGTGCCCTGCTGCAATTCTGCTACGTTTGCTGAAATGTGAATATCTCACATTTTTGCGAACTGGTAATGTTAGCAGACAGTTCCGTTCGAAATTTTCAAACGTCGCTGGTTTCTTTGCGTAGTTCATGTCAACTACGGACCTCAGAATGGTGAGACCTCCATGCTCGTGTGAAGCTGCAAAATAGTGCGAACGAGCATGGAGGTCTCACCATTCTGAGGTCCGTAAGTTGACATGAACTACGCAAAGAAACCAGCGACGTTTGAAAATTTCGAACGGAACTGTCAAAAAACTGAGATA